CCGAACGTCGATTACCCTGTATATATATATATATATATATATATATATATATATATATATATATATATATATATATATATATATATATATATATACATATATATAGATATATATTTATATATATATACATATATATAGATATATATTTATATATATATATATACAGGGTTACCAGCCCGTACGTACGGAGGTCCCCGGGCAGACCTCCGTACGTACAGGCGTTCGGGGTCCCGTACGGGGTCCGAACCCGATGGCGTTCGGCCACCGCCAAAAATTATTTCGGGGCCTAACAATAATTATTGTTTTCTGAATTTGTTTCTGTGAGTTCTTTATGACGTGAGGTACATGCCTGTAAAATTTCAAGTCAGTTGGCTAATCCACATAAGAATTAAAAATCTCCAAATATGGCGATGTCAAAACGTGCTCGCCCACGTATTTTTTTACTTTTTACTTTTTGTTTTCACTTTAGTTTGGGGTCTAAACAATTTTATTATTTTTTGAAACTTTTTTAGTGGGTTTTGTATTATGTGAAGTACACATCTGTAAATTTTTAGGGAATTTAGCTATGCTAAAAAATAAATAAAAAATCGCCAAAGATGGCAGTGTCGAAAACATGCTCGCGTACTCACTAAATTTAATTCTCTATTTATTTTTATTATTAGTATTTGTTTTTTGTATTTTATTTTCATTTCTCATTTGGTAAGGAATTCGGATGTAATGCTTGGGTAAAACTTGTTTAATTTATTTTTCTCGATAACATATTTGTTTTTCAGATGTTTTTGATGACCTTTTTTTTTTTTTTTTTTTTTGTCCTAGTTTAGCTCGAACGGTCGAACGCATCCTCAAGGGGTCCCATACGTTCGGGCGTTAGGGTTCGGGCGTTCGGGTTCGGGCGTTCGGGTTCGGGCGTTCGGGTTCGGGCGTTCGGGTTCGGGCGTTCGGGTTCGGGCGTTCGGCCCGTCCCGAACGCCGACAACCCTGTATATATATACAGGGTTACCAACCAGTACGTACGGAGGTCTGCCCGGGGACCTCCGTACGTACGGGCTGGTGACCCTGTATATATATATATATATCGTTTGTTGTCCTCTTCCCTCTCTCTGCCTACGGTTTACCGGGCAGTTCTGTTTGTGACGATATATATATATATACATATATATATATAATTACAGGGCCGAACGTTCAGCGGCCCTCGGGCTCACCCTCAAACGTTAGGGCGTTTGGTGTCCACCTCAAGGTCCAAACCTGAAGGGGTTCATACCCCACCAAAAATTATTTCGGGGCCTAAAATATATTTGTTTTTGTAAGTTCTTTATGACATGCGCTACATGCATATAAATTTGAAAGACATTTTACAAAGCCAGAAATAAATGAACAATCTCTAAAAATGACAGTGTTAAAACGTGTCTGACCACTAGGTGTTTTTTTTATTTTATTTTAGTTTTCACTTTTTCTTTTGATTTTAGTTTGGGGCCATAGGCTACTAGAGTGGCCCGGGGTCACTTGCCGGGCCAGGCTAAAAATAATACAAATAATAAAAATAAAAATAATATGTTTTAAATTTTATTTTTTATTTTAAATTTGGTGAATAATTTCGGTGTGGCCCTGGGGCAAAAGTGGTTCGATTTATTTTTCTGCATAACATAGTTGTTTTTTTTTTGTTTGTTTTTTTTACGTTCGCTGGTTTCTTGCACAGGCTGCCCATCTGGGACCCAGATGAGCCACCTGGTACCCTAGTTCAAGCCTTAAATATTTTGTTATTATTATTATTATTTTATAAGTTTTATATTATTTGAAATACACATATATAAATTTTCATGGCCTTCGGCTATCCCAAGAATGAATAAAACAATTATAAAAAAAGCGGTGTCGAAAACGTGCTCGCCCACATACTAATTTTAATTCTCTTTTTATTTTTTGCTTTTTTTTATTTATTATTATTATTATTATTATATCATATTGATTTCAAATTTGCTAAGGAATTCGGATGTAATGCTGAGGCAAAAGTTTTTCGTTGTTTTTTTTGCATAACATACTAGGCTACCAGCTGGGCCGCCCGGGTCACCCTATTTTCCCGGGCGGCCCGACAGTGCAAGGACAAGGGAAGGTCCCAGCCAAAAAAAAAAAAAAAAAAAAA